ATTATCAATGAGGGTTGCTGATCTTTCAGTAATACTAGTTGGTTGTGAGATATAAGGTAGAAGAAAAAAAGACTTTAGCATTGGTAAGAAATCATTAAATTCAGGATGGACTTATTTTCACCAGTTAGCTGAGATAAAGTTGACTCGAGACGTTCTTTTAACCTTACGGGGCTAGAGGAAGGGTGTCCATAGGCACAAAAACATAAAAAAATTTTTAAGCTTTTGTATTAACTTTTTCAACCCAGATGGTTTCGAATTCATCATCAGTTGTACTTAGGTCAGTTCTCTTAAATGCATTTAAAGTATGTCTAGGGTAAATTGCATGCCAAACCACCAGCAGCAGATCTGGAGGGTTGTTAATGTAATATATAACCATCCAAGTTATTATTCATTTTGAAACCTGAGGAATAGTTTTCTCTTGTCTCACTAATGCCTGAGACATGAAAAAGAGAATTCATCAATGCAAGTGTGGTCTGCAGGCCACCCAGATGGGCATCAAGACTATTTAAGTTAACGAGAAATAAGGAGAAATAAGATGGCAAAAATGATACATGCCATGTATGGAAGCTTATTTGTCAAAATCTGATGGATAATAGTATTTAGAATTTATAGGATTAGGTATATTTGACTCAATATCAGAGATGTTTAGACTTCCTTGGCTGGTAATCTTAGAGATGATATCAAGGGAGGGTGGCAGACTGGCAGTTCAATGTCAGAGGGTTTTCTATAATTCATAAGAATACTAAATTCAATGTCATTTAAAGAACTGAAGGGAAATAAATCAATAGCACATATTTTAAAGAAGAATACCTCATAGGCGTTGCCTTTTGATGACAGATTTATTTTGATTGCAAGACTCGTGATTGACATTAATTCCGTACAGTGATTTAGAAGTATTAGCTCATTAGGTTTTAAAACCAGTTTTCAGAAGAATCATTAAGAGAGAGAAGTCGTTTTTTATAATCTGTTCGCTTACTTGAATCTGCAAACATGAAGAGAAAAACTTGTTTTTACGACCCGCCACAGAAGTAATGCACTTATCAGCGGCCATCCCGGGGGAGTGACCCCGGGGAACCCCCGGGCATTTGCACAACTGCGTTTACAAATCCCCCCTACCCAAAACTAAGATTGTTCAACAAAAAGCTACCAACGCCCCTCTCCCTGGGGGCAAAGAAGTGTGCTCTGCCAGGTCAAACAGCGCAATGTTTTAAAAGAATTTTAATTGCCACCAACAAACACTTACTTCTGCCTGTGTCTAGTACCCAGGGCTATACAGGATGAAAAGTGAGAGACATCCTGGGTCGCTTTTTGCCGGCGACTAACTGGAAAAAAGTAGCCGCAAATATTATGTTTTTTTTACATCTCTGTCTGTCTCAATATTGAGCCTTGTCAAATTACTTGCAATTGAAACAAACAATTTTTTTTTATTTTCTTTGATTTTTCTTTCGAAATCTTCACGCAGGCTCCATTATACCATATCTTGCATGCTTTGCCTTGTTTCTCGCACATGATCATGAATCTGAGAAAAAAAAAATTTTATTTTTTTTATTTTGTGGAATAAAACAAGAAACTTTCGCTACGTTAGGGAAGAATGACCAACAAAAGTGGACAGATTTACGAGAGAAACGTAAGACACGCTTACCTTTTTCTCCATCGCCATATTGGAAGCCGTTCAACGATAATTCCCAGTCCCCGTGGTCCGGATCTTTATTTTCAAGATGGCGGCGATGATACAAATCCCGTGCATGGGTCTTTTCCTGTGTATCTTCCCTCGGAAGTGCAAATGCGGTCCAATGCCCCCGTCCTGGGCCGAAAATTGGCGACAAAAGTCAGCAAATCTCGTGCTATTCTCTTATATGTCCCCGGGGTCACCCCCACGGGATGGCCGCTGATGAGTGCACAAGTTTCCAATCAGGTTTTTTTTTTAATTTTGCCACGAGATTAAGACTCTATTTGCGTTTTTATGATTTCGAATTATAAATGTATTTCTTTATATCGAAAAATTATTAAACCTTGGATTAAAAATATACGGTTTGTGGTGATCGTCTGAGGTGACCAGTTCCGAGTAAGGAAACAGTCTGACTAGTGAGAGATTTTAAATATTTATTTAATTACTTTCCATTTCAATTTGAAATGATCAATTCAATTCAAAACAGGATTTTAAATTTGGTTGAATGAATGTTTGTCTGGAGATATTAACAAGCCCTACAGGGCTCCCGAAGCAGATCCCTTTTAAAAACTGTAACAATACATAAAGTGATGGCTATCCTAGAACCACTATTATCCTAGTAAATCAGACTACGACCAGTCCCTTCCTTTCGACGAATACCGTTGCACGCCGCGGGGAGTTCTGGGAATGAGGCGCTCCTAAATACAGAGCTTTGCGCGACATTTGGAATAGGAAAGTGACACAGAAAGATTCAGAATAATCTATGAATAGGTCCTTAATTATATTTGTCTTTTATCCTGCAGGTCTAACAACCTGGCTGTGCATTGCACCAAGAAGAACAATTTCAACAACATTCCTCTAGCTTATTCTTTTCTCAATAACATACTACATCTTGGAAAAGAAGGAGATCGATTCAAACGCGAAAGAAAATGGAGGAGTCAAGTACAAAAAGCTGCCCTCGAACAACGATACCTCCTTGGATGAAGCATATACAACGCCTGAACATGACGTAACTTGGAGAGAAAAATTCTCTGTCACAATGCAGACTTTGCCTATATTACTTTTTTGTTTCTAACGTATTTTGCAAAGGACCTCTCGCGGAACCAATCCATCATTACGACCCTAACCTTTCCAAACTCCTCGTTCAGTCCAAGGGACCATTATCAGTATTACGTCGTTTGTTATCAAATTGGAAAATTCGTAGGAAGGTCCCACATCTTCCTACTCTCTTGTACCTGCTCAACATTGGTCACGCGAGTCGAGAAAACATGGATTTTTGCTTTGCTAGCGATAGCCCACCTCGTGTTCTTCCTTTTTGCTTCATGGTTTCGTTTCGGGCTGCGCATGTCTCTATCGTACTAATTCTCTGTGCAACAGAAGGATTTGTGGCCGGATCAGTGTATGTCAATTCGGCCCAAGCCGTCTTTAAGGTCGTCCCAGATCCGAAACAAAGAGAATTTGCCCTAGGTTTGCTTACCATTGAAAACGAAGTGGGGCAGTTAACAGCTGGGTTCATGGGACTTCATGTGGAGCCGCAGCTGAAGAATCATTGTGTTTAATGATGACCTGGAGTTACAAGACAAGTGTATCAGTAGATATGGCACAGAAGTGGGCTGGACGACGAATAGGCGCTGCAGTTATTTTTAATCAAACTCGTTTACAATTATGACATGTTTCTTTACGATAATTGTAATACGTCAAGGCCACCCATACTCTTGCAAGGATGGACTTGAAATAATAAAAAAGACTGCTACCGCATGAAAAAAGAAAAAAAAACTAACGATCTCATTCAAACCTTCTAACATTTTTTTTTGCCAGTTCTTTTGTCGATAGATCTGCGGCAAGTGACAAAAATGCCATTTTACAGGTTCAGCTTTGTGAAAGTGTTGTTTAATTTAAATTAAGAATGATTTTATTGTATTTCACAATCTATGTGTGTTATTTGACTTAAATCCATTTTGAAGTAAAT